TCATGTTCTAATCTCCTTGTTAGTTTAAGTACAAAAAAATCCCATCCTGGCAGATCGTTCTTGATAAGGAGCCACCATCTTCAGAACCAGTTTTCGTTTATCTGAATCATAGCCACACACTATCATACAATGCATAGCTATCAGTAATAGCGCTTCAGTCCCTTCTTCATGCTTTATCTATTTTTACAAATTATTATTTCATGATACTGAACAATCCTCTAGGCTACTCTTCTTAATTCATTCTGTTTCCTCTCCAAACGTCCCTTTATTTCTAGTAATTATTTACAGACATCTATCAGTCCTGGTTTGGGGGTCCTTGGCCAGAATGTAATGTATTCGGGCTATTGTGCGTCAAGGAAAACAATTTTTTTTGGTTTTTTTTAAATGCAATTCTCAAGTAATTTTCCCAACTACTGCAGTTAAGATTTTCCCTGCACTGGGCTTGCAGCATATTGTTACAAGTCACATAATGTCAAATGCGTTTAAAATAATTTCTGTTAAATGCCTCCAGCAAGTGAAATGAGAGGACTGTCAAGTTCATTTAACCTGCCATTGCCTCCCAGCCTTTAAAGAGTGAGACGTCCAAAAGTTTGTGCCTGCCTATGTCATCCATAAGATTACAGTTACTTTTATTAATGCACTGAGGTGAGTCTGCAGCAGGACCCACATCCTAAATCCTGGAGTTGGAAGCTGAATAGATCAGAGATCTATAGGAAATAATGGGCTCATAACTTAGAAAACAAAAACAGAGAAATCAGCAGTACAGTTAACAAAAAACCCACTACAGTCAGTAGAAAACTGCCCTAAGTGGCACTAAATCGGACTCAGCTATTATTTTCCTGGTATATATATACTGACTTTAGTCTCATACAGAAATTAGAGACTTTATAAATGAGAAAAAAATGCAAACTATCTCTCTATACTGTATTTTGGTGATTTTTTAATTTAAATAACTATCTTCCATGTTCACAGCTCATCCAGGAAAAGACCTCCTAATAGAAATCTGAAAACATCTATGGTCACTTTAAGCATACATTTGTGTAAATTCGTTATAATTTGACTCTAAACTATTTGCAGGAATATAACAATTTTCCATGAGAACAGCTAATTAACTGTAACTAATTTTATAATAAAATTTCTCCAGGGAAGATATATCAGGAAAGAAACACATTACCATATCACCTACTATTCACATACTTTTATCATTAATTATAAACTGTGACAAGACTTACCTTGAAATTCAGACAAATATTTACATAATACATATACAAGTTTAAGCGCTCAGCAATTATGCCCAGGTATTTGCTTCACTAGTAAAGTGAAATCGTAACTGTCCAATTAGCCAATGGCGTTTAGTGTAAGCCAAATAATTACACACAAAAAAATGAATGGCCTTAGTAACACAGAAGATGTATTAAGACACAATCAAACTACATTCTCACTGGGACTATGCACAAAAGATTTTTTAATTATCCACAGACATTAAATAAATACAAAAAGAATGCAGTATCCAATGGCAGGGAAAGGACGGTCCTTAAAAGAGGCTTGGAACATTTAATTTTGTTACATTCTCTATCTTTCCTTAAATAAGGAACTAAACCTTCAAATCATTAAGGAAAAAGGTTAGTTTGGAAAACAATAAAAAGCTGGAACACATGTCTTACAGCAACATCAAGGAAGTCCAATATAAACATATTCACTTGAAAATGAAAATTAAGATTTATGTATTTAAATTTGCTATGCTAACACTCTCCAAGGTTTATTTGTTAGTAAATCTGTGATATTTCTGATGAATTATAGACAACATTTTAGTGCAATTTTAGAGGCAATAAATAAGTGGAACATCACTAGAAAATTCCATTGGGTTTGTGACTACTAAAATTATGGTCCCACAGGAAGACACACAGGTACCCAGCAATGAATAATTTAAAGCAAGATGATAATATTATCTGAATCCATCAACAAGGCCCCAAAATGCTTCAGGCAAGTTTCACAGTCCAGTATATCTATGTCTTTCTCTTCATAATTATGCATTTCTCATCATTGAATTACTGGGATCTACAGGCATTTACAATTTGACCCAATAATCACGAAGACAGATCCAAGACACCTGTTTTATTTTTCAGCAGAAGACTATTTAGGGTGAATGGGTTTGATTCAGACCTTGAAGGAAGATGAGGGTGGTTGTAATAGGAAATAAGATTATGTGCATAATGCAAAGCCTTTTCTTCTGGAACTTCAGAAAATAAATACAACGACACAATTTTCATGCAAAAAGAAGGAATTGGGAATCATACATGCAAACACACACACATAAAGATTTCTATCAAGCTGTGCAGTGCAACTATTTATTGGGAGCAGCAAAATAGCAGAACCTGATGAATAATTTTAAGATATATGGCATAAACCTTGAAGACCTATGGAAAATAGATGTAAAAAACCTGAAATCTTGGTTGACTGCATGCCATCCGCATAGAGAACTATGACAGATTCTAGCTAACACTGATTCTGCAGGTTCACTTTTGCACAAAATAATTCTGAAAGTATTGGTGTTCTTGACACTAGGAAAATGAGGTTATGGAGTTTAATGGGTTGAACACCTAGGGGAAAGAGGGAGAAGGTACGAAAAAGATAAAGTTGAGAAAAATTATTCAAACTTTGTCTAACAGGTAAGACAATAAAAATGCCAAAAGCTACATGGATAAATACTACGGTGCAGCAAGAGAAAATGAATGAAAACAATTACAGAAGGATTCACTGCAAGTTGGACTGAGAAACACATCTGCTGAAATAAATTTCAATATAATGAGTGAAAAAAAAGAAAAGCAAGGATAATTTATAGATTAGAAAAAAATAAGGAACTACGAGTTACAAAAAGAAAATAAAATCCTTGGTAGAGAGAGGAAACTTGATATAGTGTTTGGGTAAAGAAAGAACATAAAGCAGGTAACAGTTAAATACTGTCCTGTAGCCTGGAATTGACAGTCTAAGCTAAACATTAGACTAAACATTGTTTGGGAAAGGCATGTAGTCCATAAGAGGTTTAACTGCTTTGACTGAGACAGATGAGGCCACCGAAAGACTTGCAGGAACTCACAGCTCCTGTCCAGAGCTCATATAAAGCTTGAACACTTCAGAGTTTGAGCTGTTTGGCAGCACTTTCTTTTACTGAAATACTGTATTTAGGGTCTGTGAATCTACTAAAACTACGCCATACTACTCAGTGGTCTAGGAGTGTGTATCTAAATGGGCATGATGAGATGATACTGTAAGCCTAAATGAAAGTGTAATAAAGTTGGTCCCTTGAACTGACTAGGTAGTCACACGCTTCTACCTACTATTGACTGTTTGTGCAAAGGAATCTCTGATATTTGTTAGCAATATATTCTCAGTTAATTATGAAACTCTTGTTACAACATGTGGGGAATGGGAATTGGGACCGTCTAAGGAAGTTTCTTCGAATTCTGAACAAGCGATCAGTAGCAGAAATAAAGAATGTACTAGAGACAAAACAACAAAAACGAGTTCATGTTCCACTTGCAGCCATACTCAACAAGTATGAAACACATTTTTTGACTGAATAAACTTGTTCATTATATGCTTGTCACAAATAAGGTAAACAAATCTTTACCTAAAATCTCTTTTAATCTGATGAAGGAGCAGTTCATAATGCATTTTGTAACTGCAGATTTTCAAATAATGGCAACTATATGTGAAAATACAAAACTCACTGAAAATGTGAAAATACAAAACTCACTGAAAAGGTTACATGATTTCTAGAAATTACATAAATAATAAAATAAGGACAACGAATAACTTCTAGTCCTATCAATATATAATGCAAGACAGTGAAAGGTAATGTCTATCCTTGTTCAGAGTAAACAAAGCACATTAAGCTTCAATGAATATTAAATATGAATAAAAATACAACATACTTGATTCCACCTTTCATTTCAAAATATTTCAGTATGCCTATACAGCCAAAATCTTGCGTCTACACTCACGGCTTCAACCATATAAGGAGGATAAGGCCTTGTGTTCAATGATGTATAAAAAGACATAAAAATGTATAACCTACAAGTCTGATCTCAATTAAATCACTGTCACTCCACTGATACTAATAGGAGCTTCTACTGTCTCAGATTGCTTTCACCAAGATCCAGGTTAATTCCATAACATAATCTTATCATACAATTACTGCTTACAAATGCAGTGGAGATACGTCTCAAGCGGAATGCAACAGCCGTTTAATAACTCACAGTAAAACTGCGCAGCTGAGGAAAACAGTTGAAGAAAGCTAATCAGCTTTCATCTGAGAGAATAGTTTGACTAGAATAGTTATACACAAATGGAAATTCTGAACAATATCTTAGACTCATAGAATTCAATCATCGGACAAAATCAAGAGTGAATTCAACCAAAACATCTTCATTACTAACTTTAATTCTCAAGGTGTGCTTTTATTTTACTGCAACTGTAGTATCTGCATTTACACAAGTAACAATGTTAAGTATTTCAATCTGACCTATAATATGAACATATTCGTAATGTTCTTTCTATTTATTCATATTATTTATCTAGCCTCATGATATATGAACAAATAAAAATGACTCAGCAGTTTACCTTACAGACAAAAAGGTGGAATTCCCACTCTAAGCAGTAGTAGTATGTGTTGTTTTGTCTGAATCCTAATCCTATCCTAGAAGTTGTCTTTGTTGATTCCATATATGAATTCAAAAGTGTAAACCAAAACCAAAGCTTTCATTCTAAACTATGTTATTTTACTCTTCATTTTTCTTCTTTACTTCAGAGACTTGACTGTTTTTCAGAAATCATTACCTGCTGTCCTAAAGGGCTGCTCCCACCCTTTAGGATGTAGGGGAAGGATTCAGTGAGCCGTAAAATCAGCAAGAAAAGTCACAAAATATGTTAATAATACAATTATCAACACAGAATTTGTTAGGCATTATTTATAAAAAATATAATCGGCATGAACTTACCTGTAGGGGATCCCTCCATGACATGACCAACGTAGGGTCCTTCTTTAAACATTGGCCTGTTGTCATTTTGATCAATAACAGAAATATCTAGGCGGACTGGACCATCAATGGTTTTCCCACTTGTATCTGTGATCTCAACTTCAAGCTGTATGAACAAGAAGAGAGAAGTAAATTCATTAGTTCACTATCACAGTGAGCAAATAGTAAGAAAAAATAGCTATATCAGTGCTTCTGCAACCAAATCCTGCCAAGCATACCACTTGCAGCCCATTCTTTTGGACTAGGCTCAGAGCAGATTCTTCAATCTAAGGAAAAGAGAAAGACAGATGTACATTCAAAACAAGATAACCCTTGGCATCTTGAAAATGCCATATTCCATAAAGAATGAAATTACTAGAGTATAAGAAAAAAAAATCTCCTGTAATTTTGATACTAATCATGCGAAGATTTGGTTAGAATTTGTTTCTTCATGTTTTTCAAGCACATTTAGAGAGGACACATAAAACTATGACACTACTGACTTATTTCCTAATGGTCAGTTAAAAGTCTCTTTTACTTAAAAAAAAAAGGCATGAATGCATTAGATATATTAAATACATTTTCTCAATGATGATGGCATGTTAGGTAATTCTAACATAACAGCACACGTAGTTTGTATAAGCAGGCATAAGCACATTCACACCCTAATAAAAGCATCTATCGAACCTAAAGTTGACATATGCAGATGAAGACTTGTTTGGACTCCCTTCACTTCCAAAAACTGGAAAGAATGATCATACTGTATACCTCTATCCTCCAATACTTTTGCAATAGAAAGTCACAATAAGTTACCAAAACTTAACCAGTCATTAGAGCAAGCCATGCCAAAACTTCGCAGTTAATAGAAAAGGTCAATTTAGATTGCAACTTCATGCTAAAGCTGCACTTCTCTCCCCTCACCAAGACATCAGTAAAATACAGCAATAAACATGAGAGACACAGCTATCATTTTCACCTGCTCTACCTGTCCCTGAACTCAACTCTTTAATGGGGTTAAGCTAGCCAGAAAACAAACCTGAGCACAGATATTAAATATCACTCTCTTCTAGTCTTTTCTTAGGAAAAAGGTAGCAGCAGGGGCTGGAAGACTCTGAGCATTTTGTTTATTCTGTTAATTTATTCTTCATTGCCACGTCTTATACCTGTAAGTTATTTATAAGTTAGAAATAAATCCTGCTGAGATAGAATTAGGTCAGAATTCTAATTCCTTATTAAAATGGATGGCTTATTATCACATCTCTCTGTATTTTGTTTTGCTTACAAATACATTCCACTTTTATAATTCAATGTGCTGGGTGTGAGTAGGAGTATTAGTTATGAGCAAACTATCTGCTCACGTACACTATTTGTAAATCATGTCAGAGTCCAATTTAACATCTACTCACTGCTTATCCTCAGTTTTCTAGCAATTGTTCTTGCAAGCCTTTCCCAAATCTTATTTCTCACTAGATACGCAGCTTAACAAGTTGAAAGCAAACAAATAGTTTGATGTGAAGACAACTGATTCATAGAGCACTAGCAAAGCTGTAGCTCTATGGGGGGCACACACCCATTCAATTTCCAGGGCTTAACTCTGTCAATGCAGTAACCTTAGTATTGTATATGACATGATGGAAACCAGGAAGGAAAATGCAGTCTCGTTAATGAATTACATTAAAGCTAGATACAGTTCGAAACTGCTGACATAAAGAATCAGAGAATAGTTTGGGTTCTGGTCTATCCCATAGAATAACGGCACCTTGCAAGGTCATCTAGTCCAACCCTCTTGCGATGAGCACAGACATCTTTAACTAGATCAGGTTGCTCAGAGCCCCATCCAAACTGGCCTTGAACGTCTCCAAGGATGGAGCATCTACCACCTCTCTGAGCAACCTGTGCCAGCATTGCACCACCCTCCTTGTAAAAAATTTCTTCCTTATATCTAGTCTAAGTCTACCCTCTTTTAGTTTAAAACCATTACCCTTGCCCTACCACAACAGGTCCTGCTGAAAAAAAAAGTTCTCATTTTTCCCTTCGGGTACTGGAGGCTGCTGTTAAGGTCTCGCTAGAGCTCTCTTTTCTCCAGGCTGAAGCAGCACAACTCTCTCAGCCTGTCCTCTAGACCCATTCCAACAGGTCTATGCCCTTCCTGTGCTGAGGAGTCCAGCGTTGGTCGCTTTATCTTAGTAAATGTTGACTCATCAAAACTATGTTAATTGCTTTGGGAAATGGAAGAATATCAGTACTATTCTGTGAAATTCCAGCAAATTCATTTTCAAATTCAAGATAATTTGCTCTTAATCTATCTCTCAAAATTAAGTGGCTATATTGCTCTCTGGAAAGAACAAAGGCTTTGCTAAATTTAAAACACTCCTTCAGCTACTTTATCAAAATTGTAAAGTCATCTAAAACAAAGGCTGATCTAACACTAGGTTTTGGGCTTTTTTTTTTCCCCTCACACTTAAACAGATTAAGGAAGAAAATAGAAGTTTTTTATTAACACCTGAAATAGCTTTACTTTATCATTACCAAGTCCCACTGTGTCTGAGACCAACCAGCCAAAAAAGTTGTCATGACAGGTCCGTGGGAACAGTTATGTGATCTCTGCATCATTTTATTAAGATAACGGAGGGCTTTATTTTATTAATCTTTGTGCAATAATTTCCAGGTTTGCTTAAATTACCACATCAGCTCCTTTTAAACACATTGTTCTATAATGTTTTCAAAATAAAAACCTGCAGCACCAAAATATTGACCATCTATAGCAAGCAAGAAACAAAACAGAAACAGAAGTATACTGTTACTTTAAAGCACTCAACGCAAGAGAAAGAATCATTTAAGTAAAAGACAATATTGGTACCAAAACCAAATTACTTTCAACAGGCTGTAAATAAAACTAGGTGGAGAATTAGATTGTGCCTAACTAACAGAAGAGTGAGATTTTAGTTTTCAATGAAGAAGGACAGGAAAGCCTATATAGTTTTAATTTAAAACTTTACTGATGCATGAAAGATACTGCATTCGTGCTTTTCATAGAAAGAGAGTGTGACTGAACATTCAGAAAGCATCTGAGTTCCCATTTGATTATTAGAACATAACTCTAAGGAAAAATGGTAAGCATAAAGACAGATTTGGACAAATTTGCAGAAAGAAATGTCTGCAGAGCTCTGTAGCTATTTATTATCTGAAAACCTGACAAGATTGACTATCCTTTCAATGTTCCAACTTAAAAGATATGAAATTATGTTCATAACGATGAAGTTATATTCATCATAATCTACCCAATCACATTTTCAAGAACACTTGAGGCTAAATCCCAATTGCACTTTTGACAAAAGTATACACACAAATACAAAGCATAATCAAGTGTTTATGAGAACTGTTACACCTCACATAACAAGCCTCCATGACAGGATAACAAAGCAGACTTCGGCTATTGCTTCTAATATAGCTGAAAAACACTGATAAAATTAAGTACACCAATAAAACACAGAAAAGCAATATACAACGGAAAACTGCAGGTGGTGATAGATTTCAGCCTGTTTGCCTAGACAATTCCCATTCAATACTCTCCCTTCTCAAAAGGGACTTTTGTCTTCCCACCCGATTTCCCTCACTGTGTCTTGAAATGAGGCTCTTCCTCACCACCCCAAATATAATACTACCAGATGTTTAGTAAGCTCATTCAAAGCTGTGCAAAGCTGTTTTAAACACTCTGCTTTATTTTATAGAGTCTTGTTCCCCTCCACTCTGCAGTCAGCAACAACTTTTACAGGAAAAGACAACCAGTCTCATTCTTACCATTACTTAAAGCAATTTGAAAGGGTTCTCGTCACAGAAGGGTTGTTTTCTTTCATTTATTGCTTTTGGTGAAACGATTCCAGATAGCCACCATCCTTCTCTGCATATTAATATCTACTTTTACTTTGCAGCCTGCCAGTCAATGGCCCACACAAAATTACATCATAAATTTAAAGTTTTTCCTAAGTAAATCTGGACTATCTTTTAGTACTTAATTATCTTCAAAGTCTAATACAAGTTCTTTAGTCATTAAGTGTCTTCTAATTTTAATTTCCAATTAGTTGCTGATAAGATGGTTTCTCACAGGACTCTTCCAGTTGTTTCAACAGATGTTTTTTCTGCCTGTTCCTTATACCCAGCTTCACCCAGAAAAATAAACAAAAAATAAGAAAAAATGAAACAAAATCAGTTGTTTCTGTGTGTGAAACCAGCAGTTTTCCTGAGGCACGAGGCTCCTGTGGGTCAGAAGCGCGCCGGTGCCTGGGCTGTCGGCAGTGGGGGCCTCTGTGAGGGGACGTCGGGG